ATATCTCGATTTTGCCTGAAATTTCTTAAAATTCCTACACATAGATATCTCCTTATTAGCAAAAAAAAAAAGAAAATATAGACTATGTATTTTGATAAATTTGGTTGTCTGTCTGTTTTATTTATTTTTGAAGGTAATTCATCTATGCATTCATAAACCAAACCAAACGTTTATAAAGAAGAATAAAATAGTTCATTTTCAGAAAGTCGCAAAAAGGGGTCATTGACGAAAAACAGGGGAAATATTTTTTAATAGCATGGTTCCCAAAAAAATCTCAGAAAATGGGCCAAAGTCGCACATAATTTTGGAAAAGGTTCAACAAATCAAAATTTTCAAAAAGTTCGGTCAAAGTGTATGGGCGCTTAAAATAGGGTCAAATTGCCCCTTTAGTCGCACAACGGCAACACTGGTGGGGACTTTGTTGACTACAGCAACGAGTTTATTGCCTTCGCCAGTCAAGCAGCCAATCAATAGACAAAGTCCAAAACGTTGTAGAAAGCGCTCAACTGTTTGAGATATAAATTTGCGCGATCAGGCGAGTGCAAAACAAGTTGGACTCTCAAATGCAAAGATACAAAGTTCGAGACAGGAGTCTGATTATCTTTGCGTGGTTTCAGAGCTGGCCAAGCAATTGCATTGCTTTCTGATGAAAAATACATCTGTGACAATTTACTTGGCCATCTAAAATACGTAAAAATGTCACAAATTTTTTATCCCTTCCTACAAATTTTATTGCTACTTATTTATTATGTATTTAGTTCAAAGTATTTGCCAGCACTCGAAAGGCAGATAGATCGCCTCTGCTTGAAAGCACTCAAGCACTGTTGCAGCGTTGAGTAAAAGCGATTTGTCTGAGTAGTCTCAAAGCACTTCGATTGCTGCAGCTGTGCCGACGGTTGGTTGAGCTTATGGAAATTGTTCGCTTGTCATTTCAGTACGATTTGGACGGTTAAGCGTAACGCAAGTGTAGCTGTGGTCTCGCCGTTGATGTCGGAATATTAAAAAATTTAATCGAGTTTCAAAAGCGAGTGCGGTTTGAAAACAATTTTTCGTTAAATACACACACACACACACTCAAGTGTCAAGGTTTTGTTTTTTCGCAAAAAAGAAAAAACTTTCAAAAAGTTGCTTAAGAAAACATTTAATTTCACTGACCGAAACCAGAATCTAGCTTAAACAACCGAAAAGAGCTAACCAATAAAATATTCGATTAAACCAAAAATTTACCTGCAGTATTTTTGGATACAAAACTTAGTGAATGCTGTGCTTTTGTTTTTTTTTTGCGAAATTTTACGAAATTTTTCCACCGAAAAATTTGTGGCTGACATCCGCTAAATTTTAACAACGAGCAACGGTTACAGGTGCTAACACAAAATATTACAAAACCGCAAAAAAAAAGAACAACGCGTGTATTACTACGCTACCTGAGAGCATATTTAGTTACCGCTGGTTTAACTAAGCATATAAACAAGTTTGTGTCCGCAGTCTTTTGTGTGTGAAGCCTGAAATTTCTATTGCTCGACTACATACAGAGCGTTCAATACACTTCTGCAGAGAACCGCTGTGCTAACTTTTAGAGAAAAAAATAAAAATAAAAATTTAAACGTTTTGGTGAATTTTTTTTTTCTATAGTTTTGGCATCAATAAAAACCATAGAAGAACCTGCGCAGCTAAGCTGATTACATAAAGCAAGTAAGCGGCAGTTTGACTGGATGCCGAAGACTTTGTGCGGATTTTTTAGAAACAGCTAATATTTTCGCGTACGCACAGCCTAAATTATATAACATAAAAATACAAGAGAAAAAGTAAGTGCGAATTATTTGAATTTTTTGTTTGTTTGTAATTGGCGATGACAAAAGACTGGCAGTTTATTAAAAAAGTAAACCAAAACGAGAAGCTGATGCTGAAATATTTTTTTTGGCTGTATGAAATAGTGATTCAACAAATTTCAAGGGGATTTTTCTGATTTTGCTTTGAGCGCATGTAAACAACCTTAACGGCTTAATTTTGGCAAAATAAAATAAAAGCAAGTTTGCATAGTTTTTATAGTAGTAGGTGTCGAAAATAAGCTGAACTAGAATAGAGTTTTTGCAATTTTTTACTCTAATATTCGGTATTGTCCTTGAATGATGGAATCAATAACGTTTCACGTACTTTTGTGATCTAACTTAAGAAAAACATAAAATTTTTGGTTAAAAGATTTTTGCTGAGAATATGTTTTGGGTACGAAATAGTGTAAAATACGAGTGCACAAAACAGCCAACAACAGCTCATGGTCGGATTAAGACAAATGTTTTTGAAGGCTAAGGGCTTGGACTTTGATAATTGGAATTCTAAAAAAAAAATACGATTTTTTTCATAAAAATCCCCGATTTTTTCACATCTAGAGTGCGCATATAGTATCAGGTTTGATATCTGTTGGCGATACGAACAATGACTCATGCCAGGATTTACTGGATTAATAATTTTTTTTCGAGAAAAAACTAGTTTTCAGGATCGAAAAATCTCAGTATAGCGGCGAAATTTTTTTCACAAAATTTTGAAAATATATCGCTTTTTTGGCCTATATTTGTTGAAAATAGCATACAAAGCACACATAGCCCAAAAAAAACGATGAACTTTTAAATTTTGGAGAAAAAATATTTGGCTGCTATACTAAAATTTTTGGATAATGAAATTTTTTTCTCGAGTACACGAATTGATCTACATAGTACAACTGATTACGAGGCGTTTTTGTTCTACAGTGCTATGGTAAGGTACTTACTTTCATTTTCTTTGTGTGAAATATGCCGGCAAATAATTTTTTGCAATTTTTTAACCCTCTGGCGACCTCCCTAATTCCATTTTGTTCAGACTTTCCAAAATAGGCATCAAAGCGACTCTTTCGTGAGAGTGATTGTTCTAAAAAATTACATATTTCACTCCAGTATACTCCAGTATCATACTGTCCCCAAAAATGTTGCTGCACTGTATTTTTGATCGAAGAAAAAACCATTTAATAAAAACCGAATATAACAAAATTGAAGTATATAAAAAATTGCCAAACCCCAAAATGATCCAAATTTAAGTAATTTAACAATTGGGTGTTAAGAATGAGCTCAACGTGACTTTGAAAGGACTGAAGAGTAGGAGAATTTGCTGTGCGTTTCCAAGAAAAAAAAAGAAACAGAGTTTTCCGATTGAAAAATATTAGGGCCGTTCATGGTACTGTGGAAATGGTCTTGGATTTGCGTTTGAAATTCCATTTGCAAATTGTATGCTTTCTGCTATGGGACAACCGTTTTTGCAAATGCAAATTCATATGCACAAGATCCTGAATAGGCCTCTTGATATTCAGGAATTCTAAATATACCATTTCTACGCAATTTTTTCCATATAAAATTCATGGAAAACTCTATACGGTTTGAGCGAGCTGATCTAAAAATAAAAAAAACAGGTAGCGAGAATGCGTTCCAGTTTTGGTTTAGTTCCGCTCGCGAACGCTATATCAAGAAAGGGAACAGAAGCATTGAGAGCAGTTTGAATGAAAAAAAAAAAAATGAAAACAGAAGGTTCGAGAACGTTTCCATAACAAAACAAAATACTAGCCAAACTCTCGCGAACGTTCTTAAGAAGAACGGATTGAGAACGAAACTTTCGGGAATATATCCAATGAAAACAAAATAAGATCGAAAGTATCGAGAGAACTTAACGTTAAGGATGAGAGAGGAGTCTGCGTGTTGGAATAAAAAATCGTTCCAGTGAGAACCACAAAGTGTGGATAATTTCAACTTACAGATCATTTATTATTAGGGTGAACTGTCTATTTATGGAAAAAATTTTATTTTCTGTGCAAGAAAAGTTCGTGTCTTAAGTCTTTCGTTGACTTTATTTGCTATGAGTTCTCTGGCAGTAAGTTCCTGAGAATTTATTTCCCAAATTGTTCTACGAGAGAGAAAGTTCCCATTTTGTTCTTTGCCAAAACGTTCCAGATACTTTTTCCCATTTTGTTCTCTTCGAAATGTTCCCGAAAGTATTGTGCGCCCTTTTTTCTCTTTGGAAATGTTTCACAGTGTTTTGTTCCTTATATAATTCCCATTGAGCACGTTTTGAAGCGTTCTGTCGTAGTCAGCTAAAATAATTTCAATAAAAAATTTTCAAAGCAAAAATCTAGCTACTATCTATCATTAGTTGGTAGCTATCTATACAAGGCTAATTTCCTATAATCTTTTCGTATTGACGTATATATTTTATAATAAAATGCCTTACAAATTTGTATGCAAGTACACTTCACTTTTGCTTTTCTTTTCTTTTATTTTCTTACCTACTCCCCTATTCGTGCGCAATATCCTGTGTGCGAAATTTGCATTACAAAATAAAATGATTGACAAGCTCGATTCAACACAAGTAAAAAACAAAAAAAAAAAAATGAAGAAAAAAAGACAACACATATAGTAATAATAATTGTATAGTTATATAGAGAGGCATATGGATAAAGAATAATAGCGCAAGCAAGCAATAATAGCTGCTCTGCGCTTGTCAGCATACAAATGACCACATCAACAACAACGTTTGGCTGCTCTGTAATAGATATCTACGAACATTAGCGTTTGCAAATAGCATAAATAAATTATTAAAGTAAATATAAGGAAAAAATTGCATACACATGCATACGTGTGTATTTGTATATATATGTATGTATGTATGTATATAAATACAGTGACGGTCAAAAATGGATGAATGGTGTTTAGTTTTTAATATGTTTTTCAAACTAAAATTTTTTGATATTTTTTTTATAAAAAATATGGTTCATACTTTAACAAAACCTATATAAATCACAATTTCAAACTCACTACAGAACTTAGAAAAATTTCAAAAATTTTTATCAAAATTTTTTTTTGGGTATGCAGTTAACAAGCTTATAAAATTCTAGTAAAATGGGTGTAAGTTTTAAGCGGCTATAAAATCGCATTGATTTTTAATATTTTTTTTTGCTGACGGCTTTTGCGGTTTTTCTCATATAAATAGCGAAACTTAATAAAACTGGCATTGACTTTTTTTATTTTTTTTTTTCGAAAACGGTTTTGCGCACATTCTTCGACAAGAATTTCATGCTTATATGGGAAAAAGTGAAAAACGCCGTCAACAAAAAAAAAATATATATATTAAAAATCAATGCGATTTTTTATCCGTTCTTATCGAAAAAAAAATTCTGCTTAAAAAGCTCAAAATAATGATAAAATTTTTTGAAATTTTTTTAAGTTCTTCACAAAATTTGAAAGTGTGATTTATATAGTTTTTGTTAAGGCATGAACCATGTTTTTATAAAAAAAATATCAAAAAAAAAAAAATGAGGTTGAAAAACATTGTAAATACTAAAAACGAAACACCATTCATTCGTTTTTGGCCGCCACTGTAGCTTTGCGCAAGATGAACACTCATTGAATTTCTTGAGCACGCAAGGCGTAGAATGAATTTTTTTTCTAGTTTCTATTACTCTATACCGGCCGTGTGCTTATGTAAATGTGTAAGCTATATATATAACTATAGTTATATTTGTCAGCATTTACAAACAATTATTTCGTTTCACTGTTTCATGCGTCGAACAGTCAGCAAGTCAAGCAATGGCTTGCACTTTGGCCACTGCTCGCCACTACAACCTGCCACTTTCAGTTCTATTAAATTGATTGTTTCGCAGTTGAATGAGTGTTGTCAGTGGACTGACAATTTGCTACGACTGTTATTAGTGCAGTATTTATTTGTTATTCCTTTGGGAGCGCGTGTATGTAAGTGCATTTTTATGTATGTGTGTTAATGCATTTCGTTATTAACTTAGTTACACTTTCTTGCCAATTCATGTAAAGTAATTATTTACTTTTTTTTTTTTCGTTTAATAGTCAAGCTTTGTTATTTGTCCTTACATATTTACGTAGATATGCACTTACATACATATGCATTAAGATCTCTGTTTTCGTAGCGACACGCCATTAGCGACAGCCAATCATAATCTTGCGTTTTATAAAAACTTGTTGCAACCTTTGCTCTTTGGGGCGGCTCTCATTTAATAGCTGATACTAATTTGCTATAACTGGAGCTGCATAAAATTTAAAAAAATGTTTACATAGTTGTATGGCATAAGGAACAATTCGAATTCCAAACAATTACAGCTTTTTATAAAATTGCTTTGTTTTCTGAAGGTGCTTTTCCTTCAATGATTTTCCGCGGTAATTTGTTTTGTGAATTTGTTTAATTATTGCGTCCACACTAAGGTGGTTCCCTTTTTTTTAATTTTTTTGCAGCGCTAAGCTCAAGTATCTTTGCATAAAGTGAATACATAATTTTAATCCTCTAAAGCTTTTTATTATCAAAATCTAAAATTATTAAAATTTAATTATAATAATAAAATTATCTGTACATATAATAAAATTGCAACAGGCCGATGTGTGTACATTACAGATATTAAAGAAAAATTATAATGGGGGGTCTTTATTAGAGCAACAGAAGCCAAATCAAAAATTTTTAGAATTTGTGTCTGTCTGTCGTCTGTTTGTATGTTTGTACACGCATCACTCGAAAACTAATGCATGGAATCGAATTCGGGTTTCTTCGATGCATTGACAAAGGTCTAACTTAAAATATAAGAATAAATGAATTAGAGAGTTGCCACCTATTTGATAATTTTTGTTTAAGTAAATTGATAAGATAAAGTAAAGATTGCAAAATGGCTGTGAAAAGAACGACGTTTAAGAAGACTTACAGCTGAAAACAATTTTGCGGAAGGTTGCCAGCTCTTTGAAATTTTAGCTTAATTAATTTTTAAATAACA